TATAAATTCATAATAAAATATGAAAAAATTTCAGCATCAGCCGTTTTCAGCATCAGCTGCGACAAGTAATATTCTTCCTACTGATTTATTTTACTTTTGTTTCAGAACTTATCGGTTGGACGATTTAATGAAATATCTTCAAAATCGAAAAATACGAAATAGTGCTGCTCCAAAACGTTTGGATGAGTGGTACGCGTATAATCCTAATTAATGCTTCAAAATGTTTTCAATTTCAAAATATTTTAATATAAAAAATGTATTTTTGATTAATTTAATTCTATTTACTTATTCATCTTATTCCATTACATAGCATATATACTCCGTTTTCCTTCCGTCCACCTAAACCACCAACTACTGCTGATCTTTTAGGCATTGACGATGTAATAATCCCTTCTCAAGAACAATCAATTCCTGAAGTTATTTTCTTTGATTACGGTGTTGTTGTCATCTGGGGCATGAAAGAAGTTGAAGAAAAAAATCTATTACGGGAATTAGTTGCCTTCGAGGACGAAAAATTATGTATGTTACGATATATATGCAAATTTTTTGTAATAAAAATTTTTTATAACTTTAAACAAGAATAACTTAACAAAACCTTGACTGAATTTAATAAAAATTTTTTTAAATAATTTTTATTAAATTTGATTAAGTTATCTTTGTTTAAAGTTTTTTAAAAAATATATGCTTGGTTTCTATTGACCCAACCCCATATATTTATTGTTATTTTGTTACCATGTTTATTCTATAACTTTTATAATTTCATTTACAGCTGAAGAGGATGTTGAAACTGAAGAATTTCATTTTCATTACGATGCTTCTTATCAGCCAAGGTGTGTTCTCGATATCTCAAAATTTTAATTATATTTTATTTTGTTCTTTACATTAAATTCTTTGGGAATGCCTTGGTTCCCAGAATCTATAATGATGTGATTACTCTTAAACATCCCGGCAATTATATGGTGAAAGTTACAATATCTCACGCGATTGCTCAATCTGTCAAAATGACCTTATTTGAAGGATTAATTGAAGATACAATCGAAGCTACAAAACATATTCCAATAACAATGGCGGAAACGGGTAAAGTCTCTATGTCAAGGTTTGCGTCGATCGATCTATATTTCATGTTCAATTACTTTTTGTAATTCGTCCTTATCCTTTGGAATTTATCTAGAACCGCCATTACCAAAAAAATTGGTCAGGTAAACGATTCTCTCAATATTATATTTTTGTATTCATTTTTTTTTAAGGCTAATTCGACGAATTTTATTTGTATAAATTATCTTACATGTAGTTGTTCATAATGCGAATAAATATCAATTTAGTTAGCAATATTTTAGATACTCCTGAAATTTTTTGGTCTGAGCCTGCTTATGAACCGTTATACGAAGCTATAAGAGGTAAGGAGCTTGTTTTTTTTAGTCTACCTTAATGTATTTTATGCTTATAAATTCTTGTCTATTCTATTTTTACAAGGTTATCTTGAAATCTCTCAACGGGTCGAACTACTCAATCAAAGAGTGGCTGTTATAAGTACTATCTCTCCCTAAATGTATTTATGTCTCAATTTAAAATTGGATGAACTAAATGTCATATTTCATAACAGGCGATCTCTTAGATATGCTTAAAGAACATTTAACAAGTTCACACGGTTTGTGTCATATAATACTTTTTTTTTCATAAACCATCAATTTCTATATTATTCACATAAATGGGTTAAAAATTTAGGCGAACAACTCGAATGGATAGTAATTATTCTTATCGGTAAGTTTTAAATATTAAACTTTCGTATTAATATAATTTCTAAATTGATTAATTTGGTTCTAGCTTTCGAGATCGTAATTGGTGTAATTACTATCTGTATCGATTCTGCTGCGTATTTTCAACAAGATTCATCCTCTATTTAAAATTTGTTAATATATGATTTTGTAAATTTTTGGTTGCGTCTATTTATTTTTGTTTACACCAATTGTGTATAGAACATTATTTTTTATTTGTACATTTTATTATGATTTTAGTTGAGAATTTCGTATTTGATCTCATAAAGTTGTAATTTCAATTAACCCAATATGTAATATTATTTCATTCTTGGCTTGCTGATGATTCAAGTCGTTAATGTGCAGTAAAATAATTATTGCTT